GATAATTTTCGAAAGTAGAGGGACAAATCTAGCCTTTTTCCCTTTCTATTTTGATTGTACTTGATTATTCGTTGTATCTTGATGTTGGAACGATTGTGGCTTCTTGTGAGAGACATGCATTCCACGTGATTTGTTGTGTTGCTTTAACATGACAATCAGTGCCTCCAATATTACTTGATAAATTGATTGTCAATGTGAATTTACTTGTGTGGAGTCATTATCTCAATTTATGTTGAGTTGTTGGTAACAAAATTGTTTTAACAAAAGAATTATCAACAAGTTTTATTCTATGTGTGTCTCAAGATAGAACTCGTTATCTTACTCGGTACTTTACTATTTTAAATGGTCATCATATTTTTATTTTAATTGGGTTATCAAATTATACCTATCACCCTATTTGATGTTTACTTTACTTAAATTTTGCATCACGTTTTACTTTAATAAATTTTATATTTAATTCGTTAATTTAACTTATACTTTACTTTGTTTAAACACGATATTTTTACTTTATTTTAGTAATTTCTAAACTAAACTCATCTCATACTCTATTTTATATATATTGTGCTTTATCTTACATAAATTGATTCTAAAGAAAAAACTCATTAGATGCCTTACTTTATTCATGATTGTTATTATGCTTTATTGTATTTAATATATCTTTCAAACATTTTAATTGATATTTGACATGGATACAATGTACATGGTAGCACGTGGGCTTTATCGTGCGAAGATGATTGTTATTGTGGGCATGAGATGCCAGGCATGTAAGACTGGAAAATTATGGCTCATGATTTGTAGTTACGAGGTGTGGTGCATCGGGGTAATTCTTCTTGTAAGTCCATGTGTTGGAAACAAATGATTAATTGAGTTGTCATCTGTTTTTCCTTATTTGAGATCATTCATATCTCATATGTGTTTTGATTATGTTGCTGTTTTATTACCCGTTTACTTCTTGCTGCCATTTGTGCTTCTATTATTTTCATTGCTGGTGGTAAATCAATAATCGTTCTGATGTTATTCTTACATTGATGTTCTTTTCATTTTTAGCTTTATGTTATATCTTGCACATATTTTTATGGCTAGTAGGTGCCTTGACCTGGCCTCGTCACTACTCTACCAAGGTTAGGCTTGATACTTACTGGGTACCGCTATGGTGTACTCATGCTATACTTCTACATATTTTTGTGTAGATTCAGGTACTTCTGATCGTGTTGTTGAGAGTGGTGTATGCGCGGCGAGATACTTCAAGGTATAGTTGTTTAACGTTCGTAGGCCTCGGAGTCACCTTCGGGTATTATCTTTACCGTTGTTTGTCTTCAATTTCGAACAATATTGTATTTAAAATTCTAGTATATGTCAGTAGAGCTTATGACTCTATACTATAGGTTTTAGGAAATATATAACTATTGGCCGTTTGCGGCTATGTATGTCATTTTATGGTTTATGATTAATGATTAAATAGTTTAATTCCCAAGCCGAGGGTCTGCGGAAAGCAACCTCTCTGCCTTCTTAAAGGCAGGGGTAGAGTCTGCGTACACTCTACCCTTCCTAGACCCCACTTGTGGGATTACACTAGGTTGTTGTTGTTGTTGTTGTTGTTGTTGATTAAATAGTTCAATTCCGTTATTAAATCAGCATGTGTTAGGCTTACCTAGTCTTAGAGACTAGGTGCCATCAGGACATCCTAAGGTAAAAAATTGGGGTCGTGAAAGTTGGTGTCAGAGCTCTAGGTTCATAGGCGCTACGAGTCATAAGCATGTTTAGTAAAGTCTTGCCGATCGGTATGGAGACGTCTGTACTTATCTTCAAGAGACTATGGAACTACTAGGAAATTCCACTTCTTTCATTCCTTACCGTGTTGATTCAATTTGAAGCTCATATCTTACATTCCCTTGCATCCACTCATATACGATAATGTACACTTGGTATCAGCTATGCACCGATAGTTTGTGATGATGCGGATGGGCTACGAGGGGGCCATGGATGCTCAATCATTATCTCGGCGTGTTTTCCAGACTGGCAATGTAGACGTGTTAGTAGATATTCGGTTGTTCAAGTGTTGGATGCAACGAGTTCTTGTATCTGATTGGTGTAGTACGATCTTATAAAGGCTGGTGTTGTGGATCATCAGATGTTATGTACTATGGCTTCGCGCCAAGTGGGAGAGTCTACTATCGACAATCAGATTGCATGATCATGTGTTATATAAGCTTTTGTGTGAGGTATATATGTGGTATTGAAGGATTCCCCGGAATTGTATATGGCTAACACCTTCCCCTTAGAATAACTAGAACCCTTACCAAAATCTCACCGGTTAGCAGACCATTAGGATAATAATTTTCACAGACTTATAGGTTCTCTAGTATACCTTAAATATTAGGCGGTGACTCTTTTCTTTTATCTACTTCAGGGGAACCACTAGTTGTATTTTATTTTGACCTGTGCAAAATAGGTCAAAACAAAATGAGAATGAGCATTGAAGACATCAGTATTCCAGTCATTAGCTGTCATTTGTCCATGGTAGCCTATCTTCTATACATGTTTCTTTATATTCAAACGAACGATGTATTTTTCATCATACCAATGTTGTAAATCTAATTTTAGTTGTCAATGACTTGTACTATAAGTTCTTGAAAAAGTTTGTATTAGTTTTTGCAATCTTATTTTATTATTTATTTGATGATAATCAATTTGAGCTTCCTTTAAGTTGGTTGACTTGCCCAGCGGATTGGGTTAGACGCCAATACGATTCTGATAGAAATTGAGTCGGGATAATCTAACCTGCTTCTTTCGATATCTGCTTAGCACATCTATAACCTTTGTCTATTAGCACAAGAAATATCTTCAAGGAACCTTGTTCTTTGACAACTATTTATTTATCATCAAAATAATTTATGCTCAGCTCAACGATTGATCGAGGAGTTCTTCGTTGGTTAACCCATTGTGCAACAGAACAAATGTGGAACAACAACAATTATGCCATGCATAATAATAATCAGAATGGGACTTTGCATAATAATTATAAAGAAATACTCCTTTCGTTTTATTATGTGACAAGGTTCAGGGTATGAAATTTAATATACTTAATTTTGAGTTTGAATTCGAATATAAATTCTCTATGTCTTTAAAAATAAAATTTACATATTAAACTATATAAAACTAGTGAAAAAGTTATAATATTTAATAATTCAAAAATATTGTAAACATATATATATATATATATATATATATATATATATATATATATATATATATATATATATATATATATATATAAGAAAATTGTGACTAACTCTCCAAATAGTTAATATTGCTACATAGATTAAAACACAGGGAGTATCATTTCTTTTACGACCGAAACGCCTAATTCCAAATTTATGCGCACCAAAATCATGTGATTTCCTGTTGTTTAAAGGGAAAAACAAAAACAAAAACAAAAAAAAGCATTATAAAGTTCACTCCAAAGTAATCTTACACAAGTTCCTATTCACAAAAATAAAAACGATTAACATGCATCTGCATTAAATTATTAAGTGGTAGGGTAGGTTTGTCAGTAGGTTACGAATTGTGCGNAAAAAAAAAAAAAAAAAAAAAAAAAAAAAAAAAAAAAAAAAAAAAAAAAAAAGAGACAATTTAGGCAACATACAATGCAACAATTAATACTTTTTAGGCCAATAAAGCAATTGCTTTAGGGAATTTAGGCAAGATCACAATGCAACCATTATTACCAAAAAAGCAATTGTTTTAGGGCCACTTTTTCGGGACCTATTTTCTTAATAGGCGGCAAAGCAAAATAGGAAAGGGGCCGAGCTGACTGATGAGTGCCTTTTTAGCCTTTATTTAAGGTTTTTATTTATAAAGTTTTACTGTATGTCACTAATTTAATCGAGCCACTCCTATTTGATTCAAAAATTAAGTACAACCCTAAAAGCTGTGAAAGGCCTAGGAAATTTTACAATGTATTGTTCCTTTTGACTCCATTTTGTGGTGTGGTCTTTAAATGGAAAAAAGGCCAAGAAAATTTTATGGTGTGTTCTCTGTCTAAACAAAGCAAACATACAAATGACTTGCGAGGCGGCTTAATCATAAAAGTCCTTCCTGCTCTCAGAGACGCGCCATCAACTCAAAACTTCTGTAGATAGTAAATAGCAAGACAAGTCTGTAACAGATAAAGATTTACTTAAAGAAATCAAAAGGAGGAGGATAATGTAATCATTATTTTTGAGAAATTTATGTCCCACACTATAGGGTGTATACCAGAATTTCTTTAGAATTTACAAAAGCCAAACGAAATTCAGGTTGATCAGAAAGAACTTGAATTCCCACAATATTCTTTTTTCTCTTTCTAAGGAAGTGAGAAGAGAAGAAGGCTGAGACAAACCTGAATGTATTTTCATTAAATAAGATACCGTTATACGTACCTATCTTACCAGACGTAATCTTTCTTAAACGAGCACTTAGTCAGCTTTAAAATTCAAAATATAAATTAGTTATTTTGTGGGGTACATACCTCAACAAATATTTAAATAAAATAGAAGAGAAAAATGTTCATTGGTTGGATTTGCGGCTAGGTGGTGGAACCAATTTGCCAGATATTCAAATTGTCAGATACTAATCAATTTTGATTGGTTAAATATGGCTCTTCCTGCTATAAATAGAGGTCCTCGTTTCTCATTTCAAATACACCAAATTAAATAAGAGAGAAGCAATAGAAGTTAGAGAGTAATTCACAGATTGTAGTATGTAAGATAAGTAGTGAGTGTGAGTAATATTCTAGTGATGTATTTAAAATAAAGAGTGTTATTTCTTTCGAAGTTGTAGTAGTCTCTTGACACTACTAAGTTGTAATATTATAGTGGTAATATTGCTCCGCTCGGGTATTATATTTTACCTCGTTAAAAGAGTTGGTGTCGTTGTTACTCTCTTGTGTTATTATTATTTGCCGTGGATATTATTCCTGGGTGGGATTATTTTTTTTCCAACAACGTGGTATCAGAGCCATGGCAAATAATGATGCGCTTTCTTTTCAGTACCCCCATCTCACAAAAAATAATTATGAGAAATGGTGTCTATGTATGAAAGCCATACTTGGCTCCCAGGATGTGCGGGAAATCGTAGATAGAGGGTATGCAAAACCCGATAATGAGGAAGATCCGCCTCAAAATAAAAAAAATGCCTTGGCAAAGACAAGGAAGAAGGACCAACAAGTCCTCACGCTCATCCACCAATGTTTGGATGATGCTATATTTGAGAAGGTGGCAGATGCTACCACCTCAAAGGAAGCTTGGGAGATTTTACAAAATTTCCTTCAAGGAGTTGACAAGGTGAGGAAGGTAAAACTTCAAACTCCAAGAGCTGATTGTGAAGTTTTAAAAATGAAAGAATCCGAATGCATTTCGGATTATTATTCAAAAATGAAGGTTGTTGTAAATCAATTAAGAAGATACGGGGAGGACATAGAATATGTCCCTGTGGTAGAAAAGATCATTCGCACTTTAATACCTAAGTTTGATTTTATGGTGTGTTCTATTGAGGAGTCTAAAGATTTATACTCTATGATGGCGGAGCAATTGGAGGGCTCTTTACAGGCCTACGAAGAAAAGATCAAAAGGAGACAATAAGCGCTATTGGAGCAACTTCTTAAAACTCAGGCATCCTTCAAGAATTATGGAGGTGAAAAGAGCTATCGAAGGAATGGACGGGGATGAGGCCGTAGCGGTCACGGAAGAGGAAGAAATAATGGTAACAACTTCAATAATGAAGTTAAAATCCACCAAACATTCAAAGGTCGTGGTCGTGGACATAGAGAAGGAAGAGGACGTGGCTACTACGAAAAAAATAATGCGCAAATGTATGACAAATAAAAAATTTAGTGTTATAATTATCATAAATTTCGCAATTACTCTTAGGAATGTCGTAGAAATGTTGAAGAAAAAGCTAACCTTGTTGACAACAAGAAAGAAGAAGATGAGTCAACGTTGTTGCTGGCACTCAAGGAAGAAGACATGGATGATTGTAGCTCGTGGTACTTGGACAATGGAACAAGCAATCGTATGTGTGGATGCAAAAAGAAGTTTTTGGAGATCAATAAAACAGTGAGAGGTAATGTGTCCTTTGGAGATACCTCAAAGATTCAAATCAAAGGGATAGGATACGATTCTGATCTCTTGCAAAGATGCTAGTCACAAGCTAATTCAAGATGTTTATTATGTGCCAAAATTAAAAAGTAATATTTTGAGTTTGGGCCAACTTCTTGAAAAGGAATATGACATCCACATAAAAAATATGCATCTTTGGCTTAGAGATTCAAGTGGAGTTCTAATTGTTAAAGTACATATGAAAAAGAATAGATTATTTTCTCTGAATCTTAAAACAATTTTAGCAAAGTTTTTTAAGTCTAATGTGCAAGATATTCATGGTGTTGGCACTTGCGATTTGGGAACTTGAATTTTGAAGCGCTCAAATCAATAGGATAAAAGAACATGGTGGATGGGATACCATCAATCAACCATCTCAATCAATTGTGTGAAGCTTGTTTTCTTGGAAAACATGCAATGAGGAGTTTTTCAAAGGAGACCATGTCAAGATCAACCAAGCCGCTCCAGCTTGTTCACACGGATGTGTGTGGACAAATCAATCCACTTTCCTTTGGTAAAAATAAATACTTTCTTCTTTTCATTGATGACTTTAGTAAAAAGACATGGGTTTATTTCTTGAACAAAAAGTTTAAAGCTTTTGCTGCTTTTACAAATTTTCAAAGTACTTGTGAAAAAAGAAAGCGGCTATGAAATAAAATCTTTAAGGTCCGATAGAGGAGGTGAATTCACTCCAAAAGAATTTAATAACTTTTGTCAGTCTCATGGAATTCGTCACCCTCTAACGGTACCTTATTTAACCCAACAAAATGGAGTTGCAAAGAGAAAGAATTAAACGATTCTTAATATGGCTAGATGTATGTTGAAAGATAGAAGTATGCCTAAGGAATTTTGGGTCGAAGCTGTTTCTTGTACAGTTTATTTGAACAACAAGTCTCCAAGAAGAAATGTTAGAGATCAAACCCCTCAAGAAGCATGGAGTGGAAGAAACCCAAGTGTCAAGCACTTGAGAATCTTTGGGAGCATAGCCTATGCTCATGAACACAACAAGGGAGAGCGAAGCTTGACTATCGACGTGTCAAGCATGTGTTTGTTGGCTATGATACAAGTTCAAAAAGCTACAAGTTATACAACCCAAGCAGCATCAAAGTGGTGGTAAGTCACGATGTTGAATCTGATGAAGAAATGGCATAGAATTGGGAAGATCAAGAAGAAACTTCATATGTTTTTTTCCACACTTTGGTGATGAAGAAGAACCAGAGACCGTGGAACCTGTGAAGGATACAACTCCTCCTCCTTCTCCAACCAATGGTGCATCTCCCTCTTCTCAAGAAAGTTCAAATGAACAGCCGCAAAGAACAAGGAGTATTCAAGAGCTCTATGAGGACATAGAAGAAGTTACTAATTTTGATTTTTTATATTGTCTCTTTGCTAACAGTGAACCAGTGAACTTTGATGAAGCAGTTACAAAAAAATGGTGGAGACAAGCCATGGAGAAGGAGATCGAGTCAATAGAGAAGAACAACACGTGGGAGTTAACAACTCTTCCCAAGGGTCATCGAGCGATTGGAGTAAAATGGGTATATAAGATAAAGAAGAATGTTGATGGAGATGTGGAGAGATACAAGGCATGACTTGTGGATAAAGGCTACAAGCAAAGGCAAGGCATTGACTATGAAGAAGTCTATGCACCTATTGCTCGTATGGAGACGATTCGCTTGCTCATCTCTTTGGTGGCGCAAATGAAGTGGAAGATTCATCAACTAGACGTCAAGTAAGCCTTTTTGAATGGCTATATTGAAGAAGAAGTCTATGTTGAACAACCATTGGGCTTTGCGGTAAAACCCATGAAGATAAAGTGTTGCGATTGAACAAAGCTTTATATAGATTAAAGCAAACCCCACGAGCATGGAATAGTTGCATCGACAAGTATTTTCAAGACAATGGGTTTACTCGTTGTCTCCATTAATATGCTCTTTACCTTAAAGTTCATACTAATGGAGATATCTTACTTGTTTGTCTTTATGTTGATGATCTTATTTTTACGGGTAATAACCCAAATTTGTTTGAAGCTTTTAAGAAAGATATGTCACCTGAGTTCGAGATAACGAATATAGGGCTCATGTCATACTACTTGGGCCTAGAAGTGAAGCAGATGGAGGATGGAATTTTTATCTCTCAAGAAAGCTATACAAAAGAGATGTTGAAGAAGTTCAACATGCTCGATTGCAACCCCGTGAACACACCGGTGGAGAGTGAGACAAAATTGTCCAAGTTTGATGAAGGAGAAAAAGTGGATCCAACATTCTTCAAAAGCCTTGTGGGAAGTTCTAGGTACTTGACTTGTATTAGGCCAGATATACTCTTTGCAGTTGGAGTACTAAGTCGCTTCATGGAAGCTCCTACCTCCACTCACTTGAAGGTCACTAGAAGAATTCTTCGTTACATAAAAGGTACGATCGACTATGGGTTATTTATTCTAATGACTTCAGCCTTGTGGGATTTTATATAAGTGATTATGCGGGAGATATTGATGATAGAAAAAGCACAATCGGTTTTGTGTTTTTCTTGGGTGATTCTGTTATTTCTTGTAGTTCAAAGAAACAATCAATTGTTACTCTCTCGACCTGGGAAGCCGAATACGTAGTAGCAATGTTACGTACCCGTCATGCTATATGGATGAGAAGATTATTGAAGGAGCTAAATTTGATACAAATTGAAGCTACGGAGACTTGTATTGATAACAAATCCACACAGGCACTTGCTAAGAATCCGGTCTATCATGATCGAAGCAAGTATATAGACAAACGGTATCACTTTATCATAGAATGCATTACAGAGAAGGAGGTAGAACTCAAGTATGTGAAGTCGCATGATCAAGTTGCGGACATTTTTACAAAACCTCTCAAATTTGAAGATTTTTAGAGATTGAGATCAAGACTTGGAATGAAGAAGAAAAATCAAAATTACGGGAGAGTTTTGGGGTCCATACCTCAACTAATAATTAAATAAAATAAAAGAGAAAAATATTGATTGGTTGGATTTGCGGCTGGGCGGTGGAACCAATTTGCAAGATAACAAATTGTCAAATTGGTTGAAATTGTCAGGTACCAATCAACTTTGATTGGTTAAACTATCGGCTCTTCCTGCTATAAATAGAGGCCCTCATTCCTCATTTTAAATACACCAAAATAAGAGAGAAGCAATAGAAGTTAGAGAGAGTAATCCACATATTGTAGTCTGTGAGATAAATAGTGATTGTGAGTAATATTGTAGTGAGGTATTTAAAATAAAGAGTATTATTTCTTTCTGAGTTGTAGTAGTCTCTTGAAACTACTAAGTTATAATATTATAGTGATAATATTGCTCCGCTCGGATATTATATTTTACCTCGTTAAAAGAGTTGGTATAGTTGTTAATCTCTTGTGTTATTATTATTATTTGCCATGAATATTATTCCTGGGTGGGATTATTATTTTTTCCAACAATTTTAAATGTTCAAATAAATACGTAGATAAGTAATTTATATTTCCTCCGTTTCAATTTATGTGAACCTATTTCCTTTTTAGTCCGTACCAAAAAGAATGAGACCTTTTCCCATTTGGAAACAATTTACCTTTATGCAATAATTTATAACCACATAAAATATATGTGCCTCATTTTTTACCACAAGTTCAAAATTCTTCTCTCTTTTCTCAAACTCCGTGCTCAGTCAAATGGGTGCACATAAATTAAAACGAAGGGAGTAATTAATCAATTTTTGGCTACTTTTTTGTAACCACCCGACCGGTGATTTAGAAGTTTAGCATTTTGTTTTGTGGTATGAGACTTTGAATATCTTCATATTATGTATCATTACTTGCGTGTACAGTTGTTTTCGACTTTCGAGAGGTTCAGAGTTGATTTGGAAGAGTAATTCTCAATTTGAAAGCTTTAAGTTGGAAGAGTTGACCAAGATTTGACTTTTGAATAAACAACCTCGGATTTGTGTTTTGATGGTTTCAACAAGTTCGTGTGGTGATTTTGGACTTAGACATATATCTGGATTTGGATTTAGAGGTTTCTAGATTGATTTTGCTCTAATTGCTGAATGTTGAAACTTTAAAGGTTTGGAAAGTTCATAAGTTTGACCGAGAGTTGACTTTAAGGCTATCAGAATCGAATTATTATTTCGGGAATTGAAATAGGTCTATTTTTTCATTTGGGACTTATGTACAAAGTTTGGGTTCATTCCGAATTGGTTAGGCTTGAATCGGACGCTTGGTATTGAGGTTGGAAGTTTATGAACTTTAGAGATTAATCTTGGTCGAAGATTCTTGATTTTGGTGTTAATTACGGCATTTGAAACCTTTGGATAGGTTTGAGAGATGTATTGGAACTTTTTGGTATGATTACCATGGGGCTCCGGGTGAGTTTCAGAATGGTTTCTCACCATTTCGATTGAGTTTGGCATAGCCGATTTTCTGATGTTATTCGCATTCAAGGTTAGTGTGTCACATTCGTGTAGAAGGTTTTTGGCTTACTGGTGATTTTTCACCACATTCACGATGTAGTGGTCACGTTCGCGGAGCTTAGTTGTCACGCAGGGTTTTAATTAGTCATCGCGTTCGCATGGGCAACGTCGCGTTCGCATATGTCTTGTCAGTCAGGACTATTGCGTTTGCATAGGGTACCGCCGGGCAATGCATCTAAGTTGTCATTTTTGGTATTTTGGCCATTATTTCATAGTTTTAGCAATAAACCTCGAGAAGAGGAGATTTTGAAGAGCAATTTAAATACTACATTGGAGGCAAGTAATTTTCACTTGAATTTGGTTTTATATAGTGATTGCCCATGGGTTTCTATACTTAAAACTTGGAATGTTGAAAGGAAATTTGGGGTTTTTGCCTACATTTTAAGAATGTATATTTTGGGGATTTGAGCACCAATTTGGACCCGATTTTGGAAATTAATTATATATTTGGACTCGGCATGTTATGGATCATCGAATTTTGGTTTTGTTTTGGAATTCGGGCACACGTGGGCCCGGGTTGACATTTGATGGTTTTCGAGAATTTCTTCAAAGATCGAATTTTTATGGATTGGGATTGCTTCCTATGACATTGTGGACTTCATTGGATGATGTTTATCTTGGATTTGCGCGATTGGAGGGCCAGATCGAGGTTTTGGCGTAATTCAAGGTTGAAGACTAGCCTGAATGAGGTAAGTAACTTGTCTAAACTTGGTTTTAGGATAATTACCCGTTGACTAAGGTATTTGTTATATGTTGTGGTGACGCATATGCGAGGTGACGAGCATATATGTATGCACCGTAATTATTCATGATCCGGGTAGATCTTAGGCTATTGTATGCTTTGTTTTGTATATTATATTTTCTCCACTTGTATGACTACGTGAGCTATTATTCAGGCTAGAAATCATGTTTAGGCTATTTGCTTATCTGTTGATATGACCGTTTTTGCTATGTTGAGCTATTTATCTTAGCCCATAGTAATATTTCTTAGTCATGATATTAAATCCGCATATTATATCTCTGTCGCTGTGCAATTTTATATGTTATCTCATGTGTTGTCAGTGCTCTGTGTGTGATACGAGTTTGAGCCAAATTGTGGCATGTTGACATATTTTGTGGTATTTTGATTGTTGTTACTGTGAGATGTTGGCATTTTGAGACTTAAGTGGATTGATGACTGATTTTGGGCCATAAAACTGTATTGGTATTGTTATTGAGGATTGTTATTGAGGTGACACGTGCGTCAGGCTCCATATCGGGCTGAGTGGCATTGATATTGAGGTGACGCGTGCGCCAGCCCCATGTTAGGCTAGATGGTATTGATCGTTGAAAATTAGTTCTTTCTTATGGTGTTCTAGCAATGAGTCTCTCTTTTTCTTTTTAATCACTACCACTATGAAGATATACAGCACACACATTAATAAAAGAAAGCTGGCGAAGTGCCTCCAATATTTAAGAAAATTTTACACGTCGTTCTTATGTTATTATGGCTCTTTAACTAAATCAATTAACTGTTATGCATTGAATTCATGATCTGCCTTGCTAGCTTTTTTTGGACTTTAGCTGTTTGGAGAATTATAAAAGGCAGCTAAAATGAACCAACTTAAGCAATATACATCAATAGTCCTTATAATTAGAAAGATGGAGATTTATTCTTCTACTCTGAGCTTCGTTGCACTGCTCATGTTCTTTCCCTTCCTATTTGTTGTTGTATTTGACAAATGGAAAAAATCAAAACAACAAAAGTTGCCTCCTGGTCCATGGAGACTCCCCTTTATTGGTAGTATCCATCACTTGATCAGAGGAAGACTTCCACATCAAACTCTTACAAAATTAGCAAAAAAGTATGGTCCAATCATGTATTTGAAACTTGGAGAAGTTCCTACAATAGTCATATCATCACCTAGTATGACAAAACAAATTTTAAGAACTCACGATCTTGCCTTTGCTACTAGGCCAGTATTCACATCTATAAACATCTCTTCTTACAATTGCAAAGACATTGCCTTCGCACCATATGGTGACATTTGGAGGCAAATGCGTAAAATATGTGTCATGGAGCTTCTAACTGTCAAGATGGTCAAGTCATTTAGCTCAATCCGAAAAGATGAACTTTCGCGTCTGCTTTCATCAATTCGATCCGTGAATGGACGTTCTGCTGTCAACCTGACACAAATAGTTCTTCGGTATACCAACTCAGTGATTTGTAGATCAGCCTTTGGGAAAGCATGTAAAAATCAAGACGAGTTGATAAAATTGTTGAGTGAAGTACTGGAATCAGTAGGAGGATTAGTTGATGTAGGTGATTTTTTCCCTTCTTGGAAGTTATTAATTGACAAGATAAGTGGGGCGAAATCAAGATTCGTAAAACTGCATAACAAGGCTGATGCAGCTCTGGAGGACATAATCAACGAGCATATTAAGAATAGGTCAGCTGCTGGAAGCAAGGGAAATGGTGAGTTTGGAGGTGAAGATTTGGTTGATGTTCTCCTAAGAATTAAGGACAATGGCGAACTTCAATTTCCAATCACAAATGATCATATAAAAGCAGTTATTTCTGTAAGTTTTCTCCCAGCTCATGATAATTATCTTCTGTCTCTTTACGATTAAATTACTGCGCGCACAACTATAACTTCTAAGTTAGGAACAAAATGCATGGAGACTAATTAAGATTTAACTTGTCACGTCCATAATCACCTTAATTACTAAGAGTCCTTCCTCATAATCTAATGACGTTTTAATGATGTCTTTGGTCTTGTTTTGATCCTACTCATGCATGCAGAGAGTGTTGCAGTAAAAAAGTACTTATCTGAGGGGATACACTTTTTATTATTATATTTTAATTTATGTATCTTACTTTCCTTCTTTGTCAGTTTAAAAAAGAATGCTACTTTCTATATTTAGTAACTTTTCAAGTCTAACATTCCACGTGGAAAATTTAGAAACACAAGTTCAAGGGTCATATAATTGAAACATTACTACATATATCTTTATTTGAGATCAAAAGATTCAAAAAAATTCCTTACTTTTTTAAGCTCTATGCCCGTCAAAGCAAGACACATAAAATGAAAACGAGAGAGCATATACTTAAAGTCTAAGGGTAAAGCAAATGAAGCCACTGCCTTACGCCCCCAAAATATTAAGGGCCCCAATTTTAAGTACTATGTGTTACATATATTTTATGTATATATTATTAATAAAATATTTTAAAATTTGTAATTAAAGTTATATGATTGAGTGATAAATAACGATAAATTTTTTTCTCGTTTAATTTAATGATGTATTTACCTTTGTCATCAAATATAATTTTTTCTCATGTATCTACTCATATTTTTTTCTAATGTTTCTAATGGTTTTACTTTTGATTTTCAGTTTCTCTAATTATTTCTTTTCACCATATTTTATTGATCCATCTATTAGAAAGTAATTTTTTTTGGTTCATCTTTTTAAGAGAATTCCAAATGCATTAGGGCACAAGGTCCGAAAGTTGACAGATAATCGTCGTGCTCCCTCTATCTTCTTCCACTTAATTAATGTCATATTTTCACTTACGATAAAGTTTCAAGCCGTGACGTGCACCTAATTCACACATTACGTGTTGTATATTTAACACTAAGCCAAAGTCCTAGAGTTTTCTTTGTATCTCATTATTATCTGAATTTTACATAAGAAATTTAAGGGCCTTTTAATATGTTTTAGTTTTAGGCCACAAAATCCGTTCTTCCCATGCAATTAGTACGTGTGCAGCACGATTGTTTTCCTCATATACCGAAATTATGCTATAATACTCCGATCTTGATGTATAGACTGTAGCGGCAATTTCTCTTTCATTTTTTTCCTATTACATTCGGAGATCAAGCAAGGAAAAGGGGAATAGTGAGAATATAATCTAACACCTATTGTGTGCGAGGCTTCAAGAAGCATAGCTACACGATATGCTTAATAGACGGCGTGACTAACTGAAAAAAAGATGAAATTTAGGAAGATATACTAAAAGGGGAACAAAGACTCCACATATGCCCATTGAGTGGGAAAAAACTTAGTTTTCATCGGACCATTAAACAAATAACACATGTTACTTTATTTATCTACAATTGTTAGTACTTAAAAGATAGTTAAGTACCATATATTTTGCATATAACCTTGATTAAATATTAATATAAAAATACTCAACATCTTGAAATTCCATATTATGTTCTAGACGGAAACGTCAAGTACATCGACGGTACTGTTGTCTACTAACGGTGAATACTCTATTACCTCACAAAAGGTAAATGGCTTAGTTTGTGAAAATAGTAGACATGTATATTCAATAAGATTAAACTCATACGATAGAAATTCATGAATTGCACTTGGCTTTGCCTAATTACACTATTATTAATCATGAAAAGGTTATCAAACTTAATCTTGAAAAGAAATTTTTAATTTCTATTTTAACGACTTCTTTTGTGAAGACAATAATAGCCTAACTGTGGTTACTAACTGAACTAAAGCTTAATTAGGAGAATTTTTTCAGTACACATTAACAAATAACAAACTGAATAATACCAAAGAAATTGTCTCCCCATTACACTCTCGGTTGAGTTTTTTCGTAGAATATCGTGCAGAAGGAGAAGAAAGACGAATGCAGGTAAGTTACTTCTATAGTCGCACGGCCATTGATTTCTTTTTTTTTTTCTTTTTTTTTGATTTCTTTGTTTATTAAAATAGGACTCCTAATAGACCTTAATTAGTTCCTTTCTATGGTTAACTTAACTTAACATGGTGTAAACACCCGGTGCGGGTAAGTTATATATAATCTTTACTCAAATGCATCTAATGATAACAACGACGTACGCCTCAACCACATGCTAGTTACGTTGAAGGCTTCAATCAAACGTACCTAGCTAATAATCAAAATAATGTTCAAATTAATTTATTCTCCAGTTAGTTGGATGTGTAGAACTTTAAACCCGTTTGAAGATATCTCATTAAACTTTTATGTACATGCATGATCGTTATTATATGTGTACCAATATGTTCTCTTTATTTATTTATTTTTGTTGAAGTAGGACACATTCGCTGGTGGAACAGAAACTTCAGCTGCGACTATTATTTGGGCATTATCAGAAATGATGAAGAATCCTAAAGTTATGATCAAGGCACAAAGTGAAGTGAGACAAGTCTTCAAAGGAAACACAAGTTTTGATGAAAAAGATCTTGATAAATTACCATACCTTAATATGGTGATTAAAGAAATATTCAGGCTGCATCCTCCGGGTTCCTTGCTGTTTAGGGAATGTGGGGAACAAACATATATTGATGGATATACAATACCTCTTAAGACTAGAGTGTTGATTAATCTATGGGCAGTTGGAAGAGAGCCAGAAATTTGGCATGACCCTGAGAGTTTTATTCCAGAGAGATTTGAAAATTCTCATATTGACTTTATGGGAAATCATTTTGAGCTTGTTCCATTTGGTGCGGGCAAAAGGATTTGTCCAGGAATACAATTTGGTTTGGCAACTATTAAATATCCTTTGGCGCAGTTACTCTACCACTTTAATTGGGTGCTTCCATTTGGAACTAGTCCAGAAGATTTGGATATGACTGAGAAAAATGGATTAACTGCAGGGAAAAAGAAAGATCTATACTTAATTGCCATAGATCACAAGGACAATGAAATTTTTTGATGTTGTGCTTTAAATGGTGAAAAGTCACACCTATGTAATGTTTCGCCTTCTTTCAGTTTATTATATGTGTGTCTCCCTGTTACTTTTCAAGTGTACCGTGTAAATGTGCAAATAAGATCCAAAGTTGAATATTTTGGTTTAAAAGCTCGGACCAAATGATATGTTTTACCGTTTTGTGTGGTATATATGTAATTTACGTATATTTTGTTTCTCTTTTTTCCAGGACAATGTTACTCCCTCGGTTTCAATTTAGATAACATATTTTGCTTATCGAGAGTCAAACTATGGGAAGTTTGACCAACGTTTTAAAATATATTTTATTATTATATTGATATGAGAAAAAGTATAACTTATACTCCCTCTGTTTCAATTTATGTGAACTCATTTGACTGGACACGGAGTTTAAGAAAAGAGAGAAGACTTTTGAACTTGTGGTGTAAAATGAGGCACATATATTTTGTGTGGCTATAAATCATTATTTCCAAATAAGAAAAGAGGTAATTCTTTTTGGCACAGACTAAAAAGGAAATAGGTTCACATAAATTGAAACGGAGGAAGTACTACTTTTCGTGTAGTTTTTGTATATCCAAATTTTAATGTTAAAATAATAAGTTGAACTAAGTTGATTTAGCTTCAAAGTTTAGTCAAATTGACTATCGATAAGCGAAATGTGTTATCTAAATTAAAATAAGGGGAGTAATTATTTCTGATCCAAATCGATATGCAGATTTACAGGTTGTTTGTGTAGTGTATTTTCATTGCATCATAATGTATTGTTATTAGATTTTAAATACAATATTTAGATTGATTATTATTTTTTGGTCAATATTAAAAAAATTATTTAACCAATAAAGCAATTTAACATACTAGCTCATTTGACTCTAGAATCGGATCACACAAAAATAATTAAAAACTAAACAATATAAGGCCTAAGGTTGCACAAACTATCAATAATTAACACTTATCACCTTATATGAAGGGTACAAGTGTAAACTATAGTTTCTAACCAGCTTTACCATTATCTTACCTTTGTCCTAATATATGTTACTGTAAAATAACCTTTTTTTGGTTCCGGCACCACTCTCCATGTTCTTTTGTTGAAATCTGCGGGAGCTCCTCTTGATGCAGTAGCTGCAAATTTACTACTAGAAAATAGGCCTATGGCAACGATACCAAAATCATTGCAAAAGATAGCAAAATATTTGTGTATACGGCTAAAATCGGGTCCACCCGAATTTACTGATTTATCAGAATCGGGGTGAAGGATCGAAGACTGGGTACCGAGTTCGGAGTTCGAGATGCCTGTTGAGATCGAGGCCAGTAGTGATCGAGGCCAAATGGGACAGACAACGGGCAAGATCGATGACTGCATAATAACGGAAAGGCGAGATATCAGTGACTGATCGAAGATCATGGCGATAATCTCGGAACAGATCAAATCAAGGGCGCTTGTTTAGGCTAATCATGGAATTTACTTTCGTAATAAGAATTGTACCATAGATATGATTCCTCTACTATATAAAGAGGGTTCTAATCATTTTGTAATCATTTTACATTCACGCATATCAAAGCAATACCTTACTTTCTATCTAGCTTATATTCTTGTTCATCAGTTTGCTTACTTCTTAACTATTTCGGTACCAACCAGTTCGAGGGCACTCAAGCTCGAGGGCTGAATTGCGTTTCAACACTGGTTTGCTTTATCTCATTGTTAATTTCTATTATTAATCTTCATATTCATCACTTGACATTAGGTGAAATCACGTGTCCGTAAAACCACATTATAAGTTTAATTGTTATCCAATTTTAAGGGTAAACAGTTTGGCGGACACCGTGGGGCTAGGGATAATAGTGATTGCCTGGTATTAATTCCCATACCACACACTGCTTTACGCTTGTCCTCGTAAGTGACTTTGATTTCAGGAATCAACATGTCAAACTCTCATGTAGCACCCACTCACACAGACAACTGCCTTGGTCTTTATGGCGAGAACGAAAACATAGTCGCCCCGGGAAACAGAGTACCTCCAGTCAACCCTGATGGACCACCGGCCGTGGATCCAGTCGATGTCAGCTCCCATATTGCCATTAATGGGAATTTGTGCATCGACCCTGAAAATAGCATCTGCAGAGATGCCCGAATAGCCGATCAAAACGCACAGAGCGGTGAAGAAGGCGAAATTAGCCTTCGAATGATATTCGAAATGTTACAGACTCAATAAACTGCGATAGCGCAAATCAGAATCGAGCACCAAGCAGAATTGAGCTCGAGGCATCACAAGAAGTTGTTCATAGAGCCGAAACTGCATCGGAGAAATCGAACGCCAATGAATCGGGGACTAACCCCGCCATTATGAAGATGCTCGAGGAGCTCACTAAACAGATTGAATCAGGAGAAAAGAAAATCGAGGCAAATGATAAAAAGGTAGAAACATACAACTCCCGGGTTGATCAAATACTGGGGGCGCCACCGATTCTAAAGGGTTTGGATTCGAAGAAGTTCGTGCAGAAGCCTTTCCCTCCAAGTGCAGCTCCGAAGCCCATCCCGAAAAAATTCTGCATGCTAGAAATTCCCAAATACAATGGGACCACTGACCCTAATGAGCATGTTACTTCTTATACATGCGCAATAAAGGGGAATGACTTGGAAGACGATGAGATTGAATCCATTTTATTGAAACAGTTTGGAGAGACTTTATCAAATGGAGCGATGATATGGTACCACAATCTGCCGCCCAATTCCATCGATTCCTTTGCATGCTTGTAGATTCGTTCGTAAAGGCACACACCGGAGCAATAAAGGTTGCAACTAGGAAATCAGATCTCTTCAAAGTGAGAAAAAAGGACAACAAAATGCTAAGGGAATTCGTATCTTGGTTCCAGATGGAACGCATGGACATACCCCCGGTCACAGATGATTTGGCTGTTCAAGCTTTTACTCAAGGTTTGAACGAATGAAGTTCAATAGCATCACAACAACTAAATCAGCATTTAATTTAATATCCAGCTACAACCTGGGCCGATGTACATAATCGATACCAGTCAAAGATCAGGGCCGAGGATGATCAATTGGGAACCCCTTCTGGTTGTTTTTACCCAAACAGGACCGTCAGCAGAATTCAAAGGGACATCGACAAAAACCCCGATCGAACAGAGATCGGTACAAACCATACAGCGCAGATCGTAGAAGTAGCGGCCCAGGACGTAACCCCATTCGAAATGATTAAAGGAATGATCGAGGACATAGCTCCCGCGGGCTCATGAGTAAAAGTGGCTTCGATAAACATTTAGAGCCCACAAAAGCACCGCGACTATCAGAATACAACTTCAGCATGGAGGCATCGGGTATTGCATCAGCCATTGGACGGATCAATGATAGTAGATGGCCCAGGCCCCTACAGATCGACCCAGGTCAAAGGAACCCGAATCAAATATGCAAATACCATGGTAGCCATGGTCACAAAACCAAAGATTGCAGACAGCTGAGGGAGTAGGTAGCTCGTTTATTCAACGACGGTCACCTTCGAGAATTCCTAAGTGATCGAGCCAAGAACCACTTCAAAAAAAGAGATTCAAACAGACATAATGAGCAGGAAGAGAGCATGTAATTCATATGATCATTGGTGGGGTCAATATCCCTCAAGGACCGGTATTTAAACGCACCAAGGTGACAATTACGAGGGAGAAGCGAACTCGGGACTACTTGCTAGAAGAAACCTTGTCTTTCAACGATGAGGAAGCCGAAGGGATCGAGCAACCTCACAATGACGCACTGGTAATATCTATCCTTATGAATAAAATTCAAGTTAAACGTATGTTGATTGATCTAGGTAGCTCGGCAAAAAATTTTCGATCAAGGATCATAGAGCAACTCGACCTCCAAAATCAAATCATGCCCGCAGCTCGGGTACTTAACGGTTTCAACATGGCAAGTGAAACCACCAAAGGGGAAATCATTTTGCCAGTAAATGTGGCCGGGACCATCCAAGAAATAAAGTTCCATGTGCGTTGCTTGGGAGTCCTTGGATCCATAACATGAGGGCAGTACCCTCGACGCTTCATCAAATCCTAAAGTTCCCAACATCAGAAGGAATCAAAAAGGTGTATGGTGAACAACCCGTCGCCAAAGAAATGTTCTTGCAATCGATGAAATAATACAGGTATCGGCGCTTTCATCGGAATCAAAGGGAAAGAAAGAAGTCAAATAGCAACTACAGTCACCAGCCTCGGCCCGATCGGAGGAGCGGGAAACCTTCGAGGATGATGATTATATGATACCTGAAACCTTCGTAATCCCCGATGATTCTGATGCAACAAAGTCAACGGTCGAAAAGCTAGAACAAAACATACTGATCGAGCATCTGACCGATAGAAAGGTATACCTGTCCACGAGGTTAACCCCTGAGCTTAGGAAAAAACTCGTTCAATTCCTTTTAGATAACATGGATTGTTTTGCTTGGTCCCACCTAGATATGACAGGGATCCCACCAGAGATCACTATGCATCGACTGAGCTTAGACCCGAGGTTTCGCTCGGTAAAACAAAAGAGAAGGCCCCAGTCCGAGGTAAAACATGCATTCATTAAGGATGAGGTAACAAACTTCTCAATATAGGATCCATTCGGGAGGTAAAATATCCTGAATGGTTAGCAAACACAGTTGTAGTCCCTAAAAAGGGAAATGAACTAACAATATGCATAGACTATAGGGATTTAAACAAGGCATGCCCTAAAGATTCTTTTTCTTTGCCGAATATCGATCGCATGATCGATGCTACGGCCGGCCACGAGATCCTTAGTTTTCTCGATGCCTACTCCCGGTACAATCAAATACAAATGAACTCGGGAGATCAGGAAAAGACTTCGTTCATCACTAAATACGGCACCTATTGCTATAATGTAATGTCGTTTGGATTAAAAAATGCTGGCGCTACTTATCAACACCTAGTAAATCGAATGTTTGAAGAACAAATAGGTAAATCAGTGGAGGTTTATATTGATG